GATTTAGAGTTGTGTGTCTTTGGAGCGTTTTAATAAATTATTCCACAAAGGTTTCACAATGTCATCTTTCCTTCTGAGTACATAGTTTTTTTTTAGTTTAGGAGAGAAGGCTCCTTGCAGCCCCCCCTTCAAAAAAAAAATGTTCCTCAGGTTCTGAATATCAGCTTGTAATTAGACCAACTTCTGGCCATAGAGCTCCTTAAAAAAAAGTCTTTTCAAATATCTTATTATCAGTTTCCAGATAAGATAAACAGTAAATATTCCTGGCAGTACTGAGCTCCTTTCTAATTATTTGTCCCCTTTTTCTTTTAAACTAAAGGTATACCAGTGACTTGAAAACAAAACCAATAATCCTTTTATGACCTAACCATGGATGAAGGAGGCACCCCCAAAGAGGGTATAAAAATGCAGTCCTCCCAAGATCCAAGGTGATCCCGATGTTACAAAGGAGAGAAAGACAATTTCGCGGAGAGCCAGGGACAATCGGTGGGATGCTAGCCTCAAATGGAATGTTACATTTCTGTCCAGAACTATTTTGGGGTCCCCAATCCGGTGGTTGAGCCACCTGCACACACAAGAACTGACAACCCGAATACCCTGGGCAGGCAGAAAGCCAAGCCAAGTTCTCAGGACACAAAACTAGACAAACAGGAAAGCAAAAGGTGTCCCTGGAAGGGAGGGAGAAAATCAATAACCGATGGGCACCCCCAAACCAAATTCATAAGACTCACAATCCAAATAACATTCTTACGAAAACCATTGGTTACGAAAACCAATGGTTTTCTCCAGCTCATCTGAATTTTGAAATGAAAGGTCCAAGTGAAATTTTACCTTCCTCACTCCATGGGGCCCTATAGACAGCAATCTGGGAGAACTGACTTTGTTAAAAATTCTTACCTTTCTCCAACTTCTGCTGGTTTTCCAGGGTCCTTTTGTTAAATTAATTAAACAAGGAGGTCATTTAAGGGAGGTGGCTCTAATGCAGTGGCAATCAATGTAAACAAACCAAAATCTATGCCTGTGAATGCCTCCAGGTTACGAAATCAAAACAGGAAGAACAAGTAATCTCGAACAGCCAAAAGGCCTTAACTAAAGCCTTCCATAATTTCCTTACTTTGCTTCCGCCTTTTCACTATAAAAGTGAATAAGTGGATTTGATTGAATGGGGGATTCTAAAAAGAGCAGTGGGAATTTAGGTTTGCAGGGTAGGGTGGAACCAAGTTGTGGACAGGCTTTTGACATCAGAGTAAGGATTTTGGAATATCCAGTTTGTGTGTGGACTTATTTAAGTTATTGGAGAAAGGGAGCATCCGGTAACAGTTAAGGAATATTAATCTAGTGGTGATGTCTGCAAGGCATTCAAGCAAAGAGAAGCTAGAGTAGCGGCATTATGTACATATTGTAACAGTCGGATGAGGAGGGGCTTTGAGGGTCTAAATTTTGGATCGTGCCAGTGATATTGGAAGAGGCAAGACAAGAATGTAATAAACCTAAATCCAAGACATCTGGGAAGTAGGGAGGCCGTACTTCAAGTGCAGATGCTGGCAGAACTGTTTCTAGTGTGGGGAAACCAGAGTGATGAAATATATTGGGGTTGTGTCACTAAAGGTCTAAAGCAAACTTTTGGCTTATGAATTCAGTGACAAAAATAATTAAAGCCAGTTTTCCTTTTCGTTGTTTAGTTTCGTTATTTACTATTTGTCTCTGTCTATTCTTAGAATCAGTGGTAAAATCATATGATTGCAACTAAATATATTACATGGATCAAAATGGTTCTTCTTAATAGAGGCAATATAGTTTTTTCAGATTTTACATTAGAGCTGATTGTCATATTGAATTTTTTTGGCTAGATATTACTGATCCTTTGAAAAAAAGATGTATGAATAAATATTTTTGAATGAATAAAGCATTCCATTAAATGTTTTCTTTAAAATAAGTTGAAACTCTTCAAAGTTAATTAAATTAACAACTTTTTTTTAAATTGAATTTTCCTATAGTATGGGTTTTTAATGTCTACCTTTTGAAAGTTCCACAGTTGCTATATAATCATAAGCACAAGGAATATTTTACTTACCCTACAATCATTTTAAATTTCATGGGCCAAATTCTCCCCTCAGATGTACTTTCTATAACTCCCACTGAAGTGAGTGGAAACCGAGTTAGACTATCTGAGGGCAAAAACTGGAATCACATTTCCAAAGATATTGACTTTTCCTGATTCATATTTTATTGAGAAATCAAACATTTAAATTGGCTGGGATTATCTGTAATAAAGTATTTGAACTTGATGCCATTTAGACATATTGGGAAAAGAAGAAAAATAATGTTTCACTGCAAGTCACTACTTTTCAAATTTTGACTTTCATTCCCCATGAAAAAATGTAAAACTGGAGAATTAAACACCTCCACATTTTCCCCTACTGAGCTTGAAAGTTAAAAGCATTGCAATTGCATGAGCAAAATATTTTTTACAGCATATAATAACACCGAGCTGCAGGAGACTGGAGGAAAGGGAATGGAAATAGAGGGGTGCACGAGGGGAATGCATGTGAAATATTGGACCCAGGAATCCAAAGTAAATGAACCAAATAGTTTTCAGATTAACTCATATTATTTTGTCTGTACATTCTCCTTGTAGGAAAGCTATTACGAAGATTTTAAATAGTTCTATATTTTTTGGTGTTGACTTTAATTATCTTTTCTAAATATTAGCATAATGGAGGGTATGTACCCAGACAAAATTCCGTCCCATGCAGGCAGAATTCTGCAGGGGACACGCTGACTGTGCGCTGTCCACTGGGCAGCAGACTTTTGATGGCAAAGTGCAGGTCGGGGTCATTCAGTTTCGATGTTGACAATTAATTTCCGAGAAACTCTTTCTTGTACCTAAATGAAAGATCTGTTTAAGATGACAGTACCCGCCCTACCAATGAGAAAATGTGCAGTTTATTCCTCATCCCAATTTACAACTTGCCATGTGTCCCGTTTACTACATATACTGTACATGTTGGCTCCACGATTTGTCCCACGCATCCCCATTTCCTAGCCTCGGGTGTGAAGATGGGTTCTGGCCCTTGGGAGTCCTCTTCTGTGTCTATGGGGGGGGGGGAGAATGTGTTCCTCACAGTTGTTCTTTCGGGAACCTCTGCTTCTGCCCTCTCTCATGGTGTTATGCTGAGTTGTCATAATTGGTGCTCAGAAAAGGCTTTGCGTCCTTCCTGGGAGCTCTGCGACGTGTCTGCTGTGTGTGCAAGGCCATAGCGCTCGTGTGTAATGTGACTGCTGCACATCTGTGTCCCCTTCCTATTCATGAACCAAATGCTCTAGTGACAGAGATGCTGGTAAAGCTTCCTTGTTAGGAAGACCGATTCCCCCCCACCCCCACCCGCCCCTCAACTTGCTCTGCCTCCAAGCTTAGGAAATCTGTAATTACTTGTCAGAGGGATAGGGGATGACCTTAAAGGTATCGATTTTAAAGAGAAACCACATACTTCTTAAAAATTAAAGCACTTCCTACGAAGTTTTAAATAAAGTGGGAGTAGAATCAAGGATGTCACAAATATGTTTAGCACCATGTCACTACGGGTGGGTTTATTTTCTCCCCCTAGAAAGATGCAGTTGATCTAGGAGCCCAGAGAATAAAGTTTCCTACAAGCTCGTGGTGGGAAGTTTTAGGATCCTGCTTGTGTCTGTGGAAGCGTCACTGACTTGCAGGAAGCACTGCACAGATATTAAGGACACCGTTCTTGCCTGGAAGGATGGTCCGGCGCTTCCATGTACCACCACAGTGCAAGCTAACAGACACTTCAGTGGAATCATGGCAAAACCCTCATGGCTCGGTGAAGAACGCTGGAGTATGGCTATGACACGTAGTCCTAACCCATGGTGATAACAACAATAACTTCCACATGTTTTGTACCTATTCTCTGCCTGGGTGCAGACAAAGCAGGCATTGCGGGCCTCGTACAGACAAGGCAGCAGGGTTACAGCGGTACCCGCCTCTCCTATGATCACACATGCGTGCTTCTCAGATCTATCACTCCTACTTCATACTCTGGATTCCCGGTCCTCGCTGTCCCCAGGGCTCCTTGCCACTCCGACACAGACTGGGAAGGCTGGGAAGCACCCTTAGCAGAAAGGAGCTCCCTTGGTAGGAACAATGGAGGGTGGCCATTCTGGCAGTGGTGTCTGGAGGAAGGAGTTTCCAGAAACTATTTTTGTGGGTAGCCTGTATAGCTCAGCACAGACTCTGGCAGGGTCTGTGTGATTTTTTTAAAAAGTCTCTTTGCTTCCTTCTGGTCTAAGGTTCTTTATGGTAAAATTTTGCAGAAATGGTCAGAACTGATGGCTTAAGGAAACAGCATGATGCCAATTTTTTCTTCACAGCTGCATAGTGGCCTTCAATAAAGAGAGACTTATAATATCCGAATCCTTCCAAGAGAACTGCAGTGCAAAGGCGGGCTGGCTTATAATTTATGGAGGAAACATTTGACCCGATGATATAAGAGAATCTGTTATTTTTGCCATATTTGATTATTTAAGTTTTTTTGGTATCTTTTCTCCAGAGACTATACCTGTCACACAGCCAAAAGTCTTCCATTTGTATTTCCATATGTTGACAGGTTTCTTATAACAAAGGATTTAAGTTCTCTTCAGGGCACGCAGTATTAGTAACTTATAGAATAATATATTGTTTGTTGTGCTGGTCATGCGTATGATTTAAGTACTATACCTCACACTTAGGTTTGGCTATGAAAGCTTAAGCTCTCCAAACCTATTTCAGCGACAGAAAACTCTGTTGGTGTGTTAGGAATAAGTGATATGATTGCCTATACTGTTGCCTAATTACAGAGACTTTTTAAAACAAAGTAAACCAATGTTAGTGAACACGATTTTCCTGAACTCACCTAAGAGGCCAAGTAAAAAATAACATTCTTCATTCATATTGCTTACAATTGTAAACAGCAGAGAGGAATTCTAAAATTAATGATCTTCCAACACTGTTTATTTGCTAGGATTGCACACTCAGTGTAACAGGAAAAAGTTAGCAGCTTATCTTTGTGATGACAAAATACTACATGAAACTTCGAGCTGTCAAACCTAAGAAGAAAGAAGCGGTTGGTAAAGAGGGTGCTTTAGGGAGACCCCAATTCAGTGGGGAATTACATCATTCATTGTGTATGTGCCCCTTTTTATTGAGCGGTCACCAAGATATCAGCACTGAAGTGTCATATTTATTTGAAATAACATTTTCTAGGGGAAAAGTTGGTTCTTGCCTCTGTATAATATTTAATACATAATTAGTAGACATTATTACAATAAATATTATTTTTACTTTCGCTATAGTTTCAGAGTTTATAGAAAATGCTTGCTTAAACTAAGATTCTTCCTCACTCATTTGGGATAGTGTATTAAGAAGGTGCCTTAAAAAAATAGTTCAGCTCTGTAGTCACTCTTTTATTCTAATAAGGGAAAAGGGAAGCGAGTAGAACAAACTGAGGTTTTGACAAACATAGGAGTGTTGGCATTGCTTTTGGTTAATTACTGATTCTTTTTAATATTATCATTTCTGTAGATTAAACATTTCTGGATGAGCGAGGCTGTGGTTATAAAACAGCCCACCTGCAAATATCTGCCTGATGCAGAGACACATTCTATAAGGGTGGGATCTGGTCTTCCTGACCCTCTCTGCAGAGGAGGCGTCCTTGGAGAATCACAGGATCTGTCTTCTCTTAGACGCAGTTGACTGGACCAAACTGGAACATCTGACCATGACCTTGGCCCATCAAATTTTCTTCCCAGTTTTGGTGGAGGAGTTGGAGGGGAACGGGGAGTGGAGATGAACTGGGGGGTGGGGGTGGGGAGAGAACCAGAGAGCTCCATGTGTCCTAGAGCCACTGCTAAGCTTCATGGGAAGTGTAACAGGAAAGTGAGCCAGTCGGAGCCAGCTGGATCGAGACTCAAGGGCACTGGAGTCAGCCAGTCCTGGGTCTGAACGACCTCCACCACTTCATGGATGTATGCAATTGCCTAAGATCAATCACCTCTCTGCGACTGTTTTCTCATGTGTAAAATGGGGCTAAGAAAATGGACTTTGCAGGGCTGTGATGATAGGGCCATTAGGGTTTTAAGGCAATGGACCCGAAGAACCCTGCCTGGTTTCTGGAATATACCAGGCTCAGCAGACAGGAGCTATTATCCTGACTGGTTTCCTCCAGCTTCCTGTTACCCCCCTCCATACCCTCCTCCATGAACGGAGCTGACTTTTGCAATGAGATGACCACTGATTAACACTTTGGCTTTTCTTTCCAGAAAATTACTCACTCGCGTTCCAACAACTTCTAGGTTCCTTCTAATTAAAGGATGTTATGATTCTTCTCTGGTTCTACATACAAGTCTTTGGTATTGTCACTTACGACCAAGACATGTAGGAAAATGAACGTGCAGCCTTTTTCAGGCTTCCGGGGTATCTTGTCATGGTGCTATTGCTAGTGTGGAATCCATGCGAATGAGAGATGGTGTCAGAGCCAGAATCCAACTCTGGATTTTATTTTCAAGGATCGCTCTCTCTCTCTCTCTCTCTCTCTTTTGAGCCACACCAAATAAATCTCTATTCTTCTCTGCTCAGCAAACTTGGTTTTATATTCATTCACTACAAAATCCTCCTGACTCTCAGGAAACTAAAGACAAATAAGCCGCGGTGGGTTTTTTTCTGTGAGGCTTTTCTCCTATCATGGCAATTGGAATGAGTCATTAACAACCGCGACACAATCAAAAGAACTTTGACAGTATGTGTGGTAAAATAATTAATTAATATAGAATTATAACTCAAGTCTTCCCCGTAATGAAAAAAACAAGGCTTGCACCAGTGCACGGCTTTGAATTCAATAACTACAGCTTGTTTTAAGCATATGAATAAAAAAAATTTCCTCCCAAAGCAAATTTAAAAGGACAAATGTGTTTGGAGTCATTTCTCTTGTGTTAGATAGTGCAATATTTTCTAGAATAAGTAAGTCAGGTGCATGGTAATGCTTTATCAAAATATTGATATTAAAATAATACCAGGCCTTGTTGTTTGTCAATATCTTGATTTTATTACTTATTTTTTTAAGACTGGGTTTAAACTTGTTATAAAGCAGGCTTTTAATTTCCCTTTTTTTCAAAGAGATAATATTGAAAGGTCACTTTCTAGCTTTTAAAGTTTTACGAGATGACTCATTGCACCACCACTGTCTTACAGACTTCAAAATCAAACTTCTGGTCACTACTGTGCATTTTGATTTGGCAAATGTGTTTTTATGTGTTGTAGCAGAGATTATTATTAAGAGCTGTTTATTGCTGGTTTCCATGTTTTAGGTAGTAGGTCTTCAGAACATCCCATCAAATAGATACAAAGAGCATTACAGGTTTTAATGCAATATACTGTTTGCTTCATAAAAAAAATCTCTGATGGAGAGTCATAAAATATCTGGCAAGTTTCTCTACTTATTACTTTCCGATTTCTTACAAACTTATTTATTTTCTTTTACTATTTCCTCATTCGTACAGATGCCTGTATTCAGAAAGATGAGCGTTCTCGGGCTGGCAACTTTGTTCCCCAGAAACGCTGCCCACGATCAAAAGGGGGATATGCGAAAGCAAAGGTCATCGGCGGGGAAGGGCTGTGTCCGACTGAGACCAGGAAACATGGCTTTCTTTCTCTGGTGATCAAAAGCTGTGGAAACTTCTGTTCCCAAAGAGACATGGTAGAGCATTTGACTGAGAAGCCAGTATGGCTCAAGGGCCACCTCTGAAAGACCGTGTCTGACAAAGAACTGAGCGCCCTGGGAAAAATGCCACAGGCCGCCCTGTGGGTCATGGGATGGTTCCAGCTGAGCCCAGTGGACCCGGCCTGGCTTGGCGTTAGCACTGGTTTAGAGGACCCCAGGAAAAGCTGCGTCGTCCAGGTTGTTTGAGCACAGGAAGTGCATTCTAGGCTCACCATCGATTGGTTTGAAAATCTCAGCTTAGCCTCAAAATTGACTTTCAACCAATTAATATTTATTGAACATCTATTCTGTGCTTTGAGGTTATCTAATTTCAACCCGCCCCCTCCCCCACTACCGCCAAACAAACTTTGTGTTTTTGTATTGATTCATTTCCCCTGAAAGTTGCATAATGCCTTTAATGGTCAAGAGATAAACACTCAGAGGACCATTAGGCAATGCTCCTCTCACCCCCGGCAAAGCCTCCCTTCAATTTTTCAGAAAGTGGATCATTTATTCTATTCTTTAACATCTCCGAGTATTGCTATTATACAATTTTCTTCATAGTGCTTTTTAAAAAAAAGCCTTTTTCCAAACTTTGATAAAATTCTTCTACTTAGGAAATTAGGAACTGTTTGTGTTCCCAGGCTTTCCTTAAATCCCGAAGAAGCAAGGCTCATTTCCATGGTGTGTGGGCTGTTCAAAACCAGGACAGGCCCAAAATGGAGTCCCTTACGTTAAGCTCCACAAACGCAGACTACACTTAATTACGGTTTCAGCTCTCCTAGAAATGGAATCTTAAACCAGTCAGTCAGGGGTTGTCTGACCAGCACTAGTTAGGTCATCTGCCAAGACCCCTGCCACCCCCTCAAATAAAGCTACCTCACAGCATCCAACTGGCTGTGTTCCCCGTTATAACTTGCTCCGGCGCCCTACTCCCTATAAAAGTGTTTCGTGTTGTTCAGCTCCTCTGAGCTCCCCTCTCTGCCAGCCTGGATATGGCCTGATCCGTGGATTGTTCATCAAGCCGGTAAGATCTTGACAGCTATCCTGTTGAATTCTGGGTTTGAACAGCGTGGTCTTCCATTTTGCCAAAATCATAACTTGAATGGTTTAGAAGGACCATCATATGAGGACATCAATGGTTTCCCAGAAACGACCCCCCACATAGGAACATCAAGACTAGCAAGAGAAAAGCGTCGCCAGCGCCTGGCTGACCCGAAGGCCGAAGCAGCCTTGCAGGCGCCTTCCGAGCCCACTGCAATGCCTACTAACGCCGTGAAAACACGGCGCCAGGACTTGGGGCGTCACCTCCTTGCCGTGACGGTGGGTTCCGGTGTTCGGGCGCTCCGTCCCATGTCCCCTGCCTGCACTGCGGTACGTTTGAAAAATCTATCATGGATCTGGTGATTTTCAAGCGAGAGAGGGCTAAGAAGAGTGTATCTGGGGACGTGTGGAACGTCCCGGGAGTTGGTACTATAAAAGAACTCCATTTAAATATCACCGAACGAGGCCGCGGCAAATTTTGAATTAACTTGAAACGGATTAGCTGCGCGCGGGGGTGGGGGGTGTACACCCCCTTCTCTGTCCGTTAAACAACATACTCGTTGGTCCCCTATGACTTCAAACCTCTCAGACACGCATGGAAACGGTCACGTTGCACACCTCGGAGGTGACAAGGCCGCGTACTTCCCGGACGCCAGGGGCCGTCCTCAGCAGCCCGGCACCACGCCTGCTGCCCGAGCCTGGACCTGGGCAAAGCCGCCCCGAGCTGGGTCCAAGCCCTTTCCGTTTTGCATCCAGAGTCAAGTCCCCGTCGGGGGCGGGCCGTCCGGACAGACCCGGAGCCGGCCAGGGCGGGGGCGCGCGGCCGTCCGGCCTCGGGGCGGGGGCCCGGGCGCGGGTCCGAGCCGCCGACTCGGGGCCAATCTGGCAGAGGCGGCCCCGGGCCGAGGAGGGGCCGAGCCGCGGGGGATCCTGGAATCGGCGCGGAGGTGGGGATTCTGGGAGGAGAGCTCCATTTCCTCCCTCGCACCGGCCTCGCCCCTCCGCCGGCACCCCCAATGCCGACGAGCCGCCTCCCGGGGCGCTGAGCCGGCCGCGGCCGCCGCGGCGGGAGAATGCTGGGCATGTACGTGCCGGACAGGTTCTCCCTCAAGTCGTCCCGCGTGCAGGACGGGATGGGGCTCTACACGGCCCGCAGAGTCACGAAGGTGGGTGACGGGGCGGCCGCCCCTCCGCAGGCCGGGCGCCGCCGGCC